CACAACTCTTAACAGAAAACCCTCTGGTACAATCTGAAGCTTTGCTTTACCCCTATACCTCAGCCACGTCAGAATCTCACTCTGTCACGTCAATATGAAGATAATAGAAGTCTATCAATACTTTTTCCCATGAAATCAAGCTTGCCCACAAGCTTGGAAGAAGAAAAGAAACTTCTGATGTCCAAGGAAAAGATCATGATTAAACTTATCCATACTGCAATCTTGAAGGTCTTATAGTTTCTGCAAATGGCCAATGTAGCAGCTGAAGGCTTCTCTTTATACTTGAACATCCAAGACTTGGGCACCTTTGTTGCTCACCTTACTGCCATCTCCATAGACACAGCTTTGCACTGTGGCATACGTTACTTGTACATTTGTTGCAGTATTTCTGGCCAATCCCATATGTTACTGGTCGTCTGTTTCTTCTGCTCTCGTTGTACCAGAATCTGTAACATAATGTCCTCAAAATGCATTAACAACATGTATTTCTCTTGATGTAATAGATGATTCCGAACTGTTGAGACTCTGATTTGAAACAACTATGTATCAACAGCTCTTATTTCTTTTTTTGTTCTCTGTCACATCTCTAAATCAGGGCAGCCAAGATCAACCAGCAAATAAGTATTCTCTCATATACTCCCACCCTTACAAATAAGCTTGACCCCAAGCTTGGATTAAATAAAAAGATGGGAGAACTTCCATGAGAAAACTCTACGACTGCAACGCTGTTATTCCGCATGCAACTCTTGCCAACACAAACATTTGAAACTGCTTAAGCCGCCACTTATGTTTCACTTGAAACTTACTGTCACCAAGAATAAACCGCTTCAAGCCTCGTAAAGTGTCTCGCATTCCCCTTTTGTACAACAACCTTGACATTTGTTTTCTCATAGTTGAAGGACTCTTACTTTTGAATCCGAGTCTGTGAACATTATCATTTGCAGCCCATGCTCTCAAACCCTCTGCAACATGAACTGGAAGGACATGATTAATAACAAGAAACAGGCTTTGACCATTCTGTGGCAACAACTCAAGGGACCATATTTCCAAGGTCTTGTATTTCCAACTGTGTCATATAGAAGAGTAGTCGTGCCTCATGTATTCTCTCAAACAATGGTGTAATCTCCATATAATTGATACTCAAATGAACCCCATGAACCAGGGATTGCACCAAACCGGTTCTGCAGTGAAGTCAGAATCGCTCTCCAATCCAAAGGAAATATGAGAAGCATCTTCCAGTTGCAACAGCTCCATGTCTCTGTATATTTGTCCCCCCCCCCCCCAAAAAAAAAAAAAAA